TATATATATATATATATATATATATATATATATGTTCGGTAACTGTGAACATATATATATATATATATATGTAAATTGAGAAAATTAATTGAATGTGATATACGTAATAAGTATGGATAAGTTGTATCAAATAGTTGATGATGGAAAAGAAATTATGAATAGACAAAATAACATATTCAAGCTAGAAAGAATATTTTAATGTACCAAAGTATCAATCCGACCAACCCGTACGGTTTGGGTTGGGTTGGGTTGGGTTAATATTTTTCAAACCGCAAGAATTGGATTTAGTTGTTCAAATGTCTTCAACCCGATTAACTAAACCCATTAGCACCCCCAGATGAGCTATTAGAGTTGATGTAAGTTTTCTATTCGTATTTTAATTTTCTATTTTTTATTTTAAATAATTAGTTAAAGATGTTCTTACGTTGAGATAACAATTTTTTTAGAAAAAAAAAATATTTAACTAAATTTATTAAATATTTTAATAATATAATTAATTTTAAAATGTGGAAATTAGAATTTTAAATGTAGCTTTTGTAAGAAATTTTGATTTTTCATTTGTTACTTTAAATAAATTCTAAAAATTCCGTTTGAGATCCTCTAATACCAGAAAATCGAAGTAGAAGACAATGTGACGCTTTTCCTTTGTGTTGTTTCGTTAAAAAAATACAAAATTTTAACTATTGTTAGTTGTAATTATTATTATTGGAACTTGAGATCACGTGAGACTAGTATGTTTTTGTGAGATCCGTGAGACCACTTTTTTTATATTTGAAACTTCGCAGTAAAATGCTATGAAGGTTCATTTTTTTTTAATGATTTTCAAAACGTTTTGTTGTGAAGTCTCAAGTATAAAAAAGTAATCTCACGAAAACAGATTGGTCTCACGTAAACCCAACATTGTTATTGGAAATTAGTAATTTTCATTTTAATACATAATCTTCTTTTTATTATCTTTATAAAAAATATATATTTAAAATGATATTTATTTTATAATTGATTTAATTATTATATTTTTAAACTGGAAAATAATTACTTCGATTTAATCCATTTGGAGAATACACGAGCTCGAGATTACCCCACCATCCTACACTCTCTCTCTCTCTCTCTCTCTCTCTCTATATATATATATATATATATATATATATATAGGGGTTCATTCAAGGGAGAACTAATTAGTTTGTGGTAACTGTAAGATCCAATCTGAACCACAAATCAACAGATAAATTAGGAAATTAATAATTATGGTAATTTGAGTTAAAGTTATAATTAGAAGACATTTTAGGTATTTTTTTAAAAACTCCTCTCTCCTCTCTCCGACCTCCAATCCGGCCTCCGGTGAACATTAATCCGGCAGATACCAAGTAATCACAAAGATACACAATGTGATACCTATTGTGATATACTGTGATACCATTGTGATACCAGCTACGATAACAACTCAAACCCAAAGAATAAAGATACTCAATGTGATACCCATTGTAATACACAATGTGATACCCATTGTGATATACTGTGATACCGATTTCACTGGAGGCCGGAGATTGGAGATCGGAGAGATAAGAGAGGAGAGATGAGAGATGAGTTTTTTAAAAATACCTAATATGCCCTCTAATTATAATTTTAACTTAAACTACCATAATTATTAATTTCCTAATTTATCCGTTGATTTGTGGTTGAGATTGAACCTCATAGTTACCACAAACTAATCAGTTCTCATTTGATTAGACCCCTATATATATATATATATATATATATAGTATTTGTTAAGAACCTAAAATTGATTAGAAATTAAAGACAGTTCACATTACGGGTTACAACACGTGGCATGTTCATTAAGAATATAGACGTGTAATTCATTATAAATGTGTGAATCATGACGAATAACAGAAAGTGACTCATAATGAATAACACATTTATATTCATCATGGATATATTATTTATGATAAATATTCATCCTGAAAAGGAACATGTGACGTGTTCTTACTTCTGAACAGTTTCTGAGTTTCTAATCAATTTTGGGTTTCTAACAAAGAATTATATATACAACACACACATGTATAAGATGAAATTGGAGTAGAACCTTAAAATCCGACAAACTACAAAAAAACGAATGGAAAAGAAGCTAAAATAAATAACAATAGCTAATAGGAAAATGAATTAAGTAGACAACTAAAACAAATAAAATAGCCAATACAAACATACGTGTAAGATCCCACATTGGTTGGGGAAGTGAAAGAAATTTGCCTTATGAAGGACTTGATACATCCTCTATGATACGTATTTTAAAACCATGAG